GAGCAGAGCGATTGGTGACTGCTTTGGTTGAAAAGTCGCCAATCGCGCTATGATTACAACTTTATATGTGCAAATCTTAGAATTACATAAAATAATTCTTGAATAATGCTTAAAAGACTGTGGTTTATCGTTAATTTTAAAAATATCCCTCCAAATGTAATATTTTTCAATACATAAATTTTCGCGATTATTATACAGTATATAATTTAATGAAAGAAAATATTACTCCCGTTAGCAAAGCGTCTTTAAAGAATCCAGTAAAAACACTAACAGCAACACAACATCAATGTTATTTTACACATATAAATATAATATTACATATGTTGTACGTAATAGTTATATTGTTGAAATTATAACATTGATGTTATAATTACTATTAGTTGATGTTTACTAGAAAATGTTTCATTTGCAGATCTAGGCAAAGAGGTAAAGAAATACATGGACAACGGTAGCTTCGTTCCAGACAACACGATGATATCCCTTATCGGCAACGAGATCGGATCGATGACGGATCGGAATTGGCTGTTGGACGGTGAGTGGAATGAGAAATTATTCTGACCTCGTCACGAGGCCGAGGTCGTTTTCTTGAAGCCGTGAACCTGCTGTCTGTGTTTCTAAACGCGAACGAATATCTTGGCAGGATTCCCGAGAACGTTGACGCAGGCGGAGCGATTGCAGAGGCTACATCCAATCAATCTCGTGCTGAATCTCGTGGTGCCCACCATCGTCATTCTGGATCGAGTCAAGAGCAGATGGGTTCATATGCCCAGTGGTAGGGTCTACAACATCGGCTTCAACGATCCACGAGTGCCGGTAATCAGCGCAACGAATGTATATCTATTTCATTGAAAAAGAGAGGAACAAGCCGACAGTACTGAGTTCGGACTATAATCAATAGATTATTTGATCATAAGTATAAAGCACTTTCAATTTGTGATACTTTCTTGGAAAAAAACAGCAATAAATACAAAAAAAAAATTAACAAAACATTAAAATTATTATAAGAATAAATATTTTTTAATAAAATTTTTTAAATTTACTTTTAAATTTACAGAACATTTACGTCAATTTATGAAAGTGCTTTATATCTTCAGTCAAGGCTGTAACGATAGAACTTGTTATAAAATATTTTAATCTAATTATTTAAAAAATATCTATATTTCGCTTATAACGAGAGTTGAATATTTTGACATTAATAACAGTTATTTATATAATAATAATAACTTAATATTTTGTAATTTAATAAAAATTTTAATAATTTAATATTAATAATTTTGTCGTGTTTTACAGGGCAAGGATGACATAACAGGTGAATTGTTATGTCAGAGAGAAGATGACAAACCAGAAGTCGTGCAGAAGAGACTGCAGGATTACGCGATGAAAACCGAGCCAGTTTTGCAGTTTTATCGCGAGATTGGAATACTGAGGGAATTTCACGGCAACACCACGAATGAAATGTGGCCGGCGATCAGGAATTGCGTGGCACAATACTGTTGGTCTTCAGAGAGATCGAATATTTAAATAACTTCAAATGTCGGATAATCGTACAGATGGTTCTGATTTTCAAATCTAGATCTGTTCGAAGAATTTTCTTTTTCGATAGATATATCTTTAAAAGAAACAGATTTTTGGACATTAAATCTAATTCTTACATCTTATCTGCCTAAAAATTAAATTGAATTAAATAGATAGATCTCATTAGATTAGATAATGCGCGTCTAAAAATATTCTCGTATTCATTATTTAAGTATGAAAACGAACAAGTCTATTCAAATCTATTTGAGACCTGTAATTTGCTCATTTCACACAATTTCGAGTAACAAATGAAAATATGCGCTCTCGTCCGACAATTGTTTCTTTATCTTGCGACAATAGAGAGAATGTGTACTACAGCGCAATTCACGCGGAGCTCTCTTACGCACGCCAGGAACGCACACAAGCGTGAATGTCATTAGGTTGTAAATACGCGCCATGTCGTGTCGACAATAATAGGCTGTCTTAGATGTTTCCGATGTCTATGTGATACAACGAGATTTCACGATAACTAAAGACATTGAATCGAGGATGAGTTATCTCTTGTTTCCGCGAGCTTAGCACTTGCATGACGAGCTGTTGATTGCTACAGTTGTTTGGCTAAAGTCCGAAATATAGTACAAATTACAAATAGGAATGATGAGTAGGAATGATCGTTCGAATGATCGATGATACATTTCTGAAATGGCGTAATCGTCACACACTTGTTCTTATTTTATTTCGAGCGTATAGCGTTACAGTTGTAAGAGATATATATAACAATGTTCAATATATTGTGTACATATTCAACAGTATAAGTACAATATATACGCATATACATATGCATATACTCGCATACATACATATACAGTGTGAGGCATCTAAAAAAAAGTGTACATCTAAATGATTCTTTAATAATCCTCTTTTTCACTTTATTTTTGTTTTTCTATTTTTAAATCTACTTTATATTTACAATAGAGAGAATATTGTAGGTTTATTTGTCATCGATCAAACATCTTGTACGTTATTAAATGTTATCTCGCTTCTTTAGAACGCTCGAATAATCTTGAAGCCCGAAATGAATACTTTATTCTAATTCTCTAAAATATATTCTACTCTATTAAATAATGTAAATGTTTCGGCTATCTTTGAAAATATTAAAGACGAAGTAATTTAGCTCGTAGGAATAACAAGGAAAAAGATTTAAGGTCATAGTTTTTGACATTTCAAAAATTTCGCTTTTTTTACATAGATATTCTTGGACATCATTTTTTTATTTTTGTATCTATAAATAGATACAGATATTAAACTTTTTCTAAATAAATATTTAGACATACACTGAATGCATTGGATGCTTCACCCTGTATATACCACGTTTTTCAAATCCTCTTTATTCCTTTTCAAGGCAGAAGAGTTACTCAAGAATAACTCAATTATAAATAAATAAATAAATAAATTAATGTCTTATTGTACTCTTCTTATGAATCAGACTTTTAAGAACTGCCGCGCTTTAGTTGCGCGGATTTTTTACAACATTTTTAGAAAAAGAATTTCGCAAAATATACAATTAAATTTTAATTCAACAATTCAATGAGATTTAACGCAATAAATTATTTCAAGACGAAAGTCTTGCAACAATATTAAGTTGTTGCAATATTAAGTCATATTAGCCATTATTAATGATTAATATATAAAATCAATTTCAAGATTATATGTAACAAGAAGTGTTGTGCATCACCATAATAATTGCATACATATATATACACATATTAATTGAAAATACGAATGAATCAGCTTAATCGAATAACTTGTACTAACATCGGAAATAATCTTTTGCTTTCTTATCTCCTTTTTCACAAGTAACAGTAACTAGTCATTGAATTAATCGAATCCTTTTCATTCACGCATTGAGATCGAAGGGAATGCGTCAGTCCTTAATTCTGAACGTCTCGTCTTTTCCAGAATGATATATCTGGTTCGCTGTTTTCCTATATGCGCTCTGGAGAAGCGAATATAGGAAAAGAAATTACAATCGCAAAGTAATAGGTAGAGATGTTCTCACGAGAATAACTCCGATCATGGAATCGCGTGTATCGTATTTTCATGTCCTTTTCGTTCTTCTTTTTTATCTTAGTGCAACAACTCGAACTCTTCGCACTCGAACAAATCATCCTCCACGCTCTCATGTCCGAATCTACTTGAAGATGGCAGAAGATCCTCGACGACTTCAATTCCCTGCTGAAGATCCTTGCCGCTTCCCTCGCAGAACAGGAACATCGGATAGTCCATATTCTGGTTCGGTATTACGAACTGAAACGTTAATAAGATATTTTAACTCGGTACAAAATAGAAATTTTTTTTTATTTTATCCTTTATAGATATGCCTATATTTGAATTATTTTTTGTCTCCAATATGTAAAAAGTTGGGAAGTATACTGTAATGATATTTCTTTTTGTTAATTTAAACTGTTATATCTGAATTCGAATTCAAATGTGCTCAAATTAATAATATGTTCACATTTACCTGTTGAATTGTTTCCATGAAATCGGTGAGAGATTCCTTGTCAGGAAAGTAGAAGCCTACGCAACAACTAGGATCCATCTTCGAGAGTAACATCTTTCTCGGTGACGTGCAATGGAAACTTGTCAACGGGAATTTTTCATTTCCTTCGACGTCAACGGTCTCCTAAATAAGTGTATGCGTGTGTGTGTGTGTGTGTGTGTGTGTGTGAATGAAGAAATAAATTAATAATTATATTTAACAAATATTTTATATTCTAAAATATATTTTATATTCAAAGATATATTCAAAGATATATTCAAAAATATATTCAAAAATATATTTTATATTCAAATATTTTATATTCTAAAATAAAATCTACTTCGAGAGCAAAATACAAAATAAATTGAAAAAAAATGTATGCCTCTCTAACTTAAAGATAAAGAAAGTAGAAAAATACATGAAATAAAAACTAAGACTGACAAAAATTTGAACATTAAGTAAGGCGAATTAAATATTTCAGACATATATAGATATTTGCTTCCTCAAAAATTGAATGCTACCTGACAATAATGTGGATCCAAGTGGATCAGTTTGTCATCTTGATAGCCGATGAAATAGAGCGAATGTCGCGGTCGGCCACCGATCACGCCAATACATGTGTCCAATGTCAACAGCGATGTCAAACAAGGCGCGTAAACAGGGTTTAACTTGTCGGCACCGAGCCTCAAGGGTACTAAGAGTATCAATGCCTTCCGTCCACCGTCTGAAGTGCAGCAAACATTCTCGACGTCTTGCATATACACTGAAAAAATGTTCAACAATTGTTAATTTATGCGTAACATAATTTATACATAACAAAATGAACAGCAGAATTTCTATTAATTTGCAAAACTTTTAATAAAATTTTCTTCTCTATGAAAAAAATTATTAATATGCTACTTCTATATAATTTTTGAATAATTTTGTTTTACATTATCATAGAAAGTTTTATATTATTTTTTAGAAAGAGAAGAGATATTTAAAAATTTCTACTGTTATTTATATAATTAAACATTTTTTTTAGACTTTCTTTCTTAGATCTAATATGCACAGACTCAAATGTCATATGTTTTTTCCAGTTTCGGTAATTAAATCATTTTATATTGAACTGAATTCGTTGATACTAACCTGCGCAATCTTGGGCGACATATACCGCCAACTGATTAAGCTTACTGTTGGGATCTTCGCTGGCGCGTTCCATAGCCTGACACAAAAGATGCGCGACCGAGGAGGGACCGTACCAGTCGCCCGCGCGTTTCCCCGTCGAAGCGCCAAGCGACACAAGCTTGTGTATGGAGAACGGAGATTCTGGCGTTGGTTGATCGCCAAACCATTTGATAATCATCCGATGACTGCTCTCGTTAGTCGATTGTTCCGGTCGCCATCTCCATTCTGCATAAAATCAGGAAGTAAATTTATCATTCAGTTTTATGTAACATAACAAAAGTCAAGTCCATGCAAAAGATTCACTGTGTGTTTGTCAAATGAAATCGCGAAAACAAAATTACCATTTCAAATTTATAAGTAAAAATAATAATTTAAGTAATTTTTATTTTAATTTAGAATATTTAAAATTTGCATATTGACTCTGTTTTTTATCTAGAAACAAATTTTCCTATTTTGTACTTTTATAAGAAAATAAACGAATCATTTTTAATTAAATCATTTTAAATCTTATGAAATTAAAAGATCCAATGCATCTTTTCAATTTCGACTAAATTTGGAAAGAAGAAACAATTACCTCGTCCGAGAAAATGACAGACTAATGCTTGTGCCAACATCATTTGCCCACTGCGTAGCATGCAGCCCCAACCGCAATCCGTGGTAAAGGTGGAGCCGTTTAGGATTGGGAATTCGCGTCTGTATGTTAACCAAAGACGCGACATGAAATCCCTCTTGAATTCCTCTATGGTATTCTCGAAATTCGTGGCATCCATTGCCAAGGAGACTTGACTACCCGTTCCAACTGGCTCTAATGCTTCTGATGCTCTCTCCAAGGGATATTCTGACTTCTTCAAATAACACTGTCCCAGCAACCACACGGGAGATTCCTTAGAGAAGTTCGTCTTCATCTTCACAGTCCAACCTATATTATAAAATACAGACACTGAAAGAAAAGATTGGCTGCTGCAGCAAATTAAATGATAAAATATGGCATAGCATTTTTATCATCTAATTTGCTGCAGCAGCCAATCTTTTCTTTCAGTGTATCTATGTAATTCAGTAATTATTTCTCGTAATACTTTTTGTATTATTACATACAAATTTTGTTACTAATAAAATAACAATTTAATATTAAGTATAATATTACATAACATAATTATTTAATATTATTTAACATTAGATAATAATATTAAGACTTGTAAGATTTTATAATAATTTATGACGGAAATGTAAATTGTTATAAAATATAAAATATTTTTTCAATATAAAATTTTTGCTACAAAACGTTCGACATATACCATATTTAACATTGTTCCACATAGAGAGCAATTTCGTTTTGACTTTGCTGTCGACTTCCGTCGCGGCCATGGTGTCGTCTAACTCGGCGTCCGAGTTGAATGATTGAATTGTAGGAACACGATCCGTGGCGATCATCCCGGAAAATAATCCAAGATTCACGGGACCGAAACCACCTACAAAGATATTTATTATTTATCAGTTTTATCTTAAAAGTTATCGATATCTCTGAAAAAAATATTTATTCACACATTTATCTATTTAATAACGGTAATTTTTTGCCATTTTACCGGCTGTCTGATTTTTCATTTTATTTTTATTAAAGTAAAGCAGAGATAGCAAATTACCTTATAATTTCAGTGTTAGTTTGATCGTCTGTTTGCAAAATTTCTCAAAAAAAAAAAAAAAAAAAACTTAACTTTTTCAAATATTTAGCAATGAATACTTTAACTCCACCGAGGTAAAATATTAAATTAGTAAAAAGATCAAAAGTCAAAGTTAATGAGATTTTTTAGTAATATAGGATAAACCAAACAGCTTAACTTTTTCAAACTTTGGTTTTTCGCTGCTCTATTATATCCGTTGCATTTTGGTTAATTAATTAATAAATTATGTTTTTACGTCATTTTTAATTTCTATTAATTATTTTTAAAAATTTTATTGCTCCACTGAATTTCAAAACCAATGTATTTTCATCTTTTCAATTTCCTCTTCAGAAAC